CCTCACAAAGATTAAAAAAAAACAACAGCAATGTTAGAGGGACTATAGAAAGGCACTTACACTGCTGGTGGAACTGTGAATGAGCTCTACCATTCTGGAAAGCAGTTAGGAATTATGCAAAAGATATGATCAAAATGTCCATGCCTTTTGACTCAGAAATCCCATTTCTAGGTGTATGCCCCAAGGATTAAGATGAAAAAAGAAAAAGGAAAAAAAAGGGTCTTGTTTACACCAAAATTTTCAGAGCAGCAGCTTATATGTGTGTGTGTGTGTGCGTGTGCACACATGTGTGCACATATGCACGTATGTGCACGTTAGCAAAGTACTACAAAGCAGATGCTTATCACTTGGGGAATAGCTAAACAAATTGACATTTCTTCAGATACTCAGATATTTTCCTGCCTAAGGGACTAGATGATCTCTCCCAAATTCCTTCTAGCTCTAGAATTAAATGGATACATGACTTGAGCAGAATTAGGTACTGCTCTGAAATCTAAACCTTGCACCACAAAGTTTGTTCCTCCATGTTGACAGAGCTATAAACGCATAACATACAGAGACAAAAAAAAGTCCATGGCAGGCATGGTGGTGGCGTTGCCTAAAGAGCGTAATGTGGCTTCTTTAGAACACTAGAAGAAATAGGGGTTCACTTACCCCTCTCCTGTAAGCCAGAGCAAAGATGGAGAGGACATTTTGGGTTATTATGAGTCATTTTGAAATGTTTAATTTAGTGAAGGACAGATACAGCATGATTCATGAAAAGAAGGTCATGCCTGACAAATCTGCTTGAATTCTCTGAATACATCACGGAATTGGGAGACAATGGTTCCATAATGGGCAATTTATCTGAATTTCAGGAAGGCGTTTGATCCAGTATGACAAAACTGATTGATTTGCAAAGGCCAGAATTGTGCTTTAGGGAAGGAATACTGAAGTGGGATCTAAGAGGTTTAAGTTGAAACCTATTCTACTTGGGGGCAAGAAGTCTGTTTTTAAGAATAAAATACATAAGTTCGTGAACTGGTTGGAACACTTTAAAATTGGGAAACAATCTTTTGGGTGGAAAAGCTTTTGGAGCATCAACCTTGAGGATGCTATTATATGAGTTGTTAAGTTTCCCAAAGGCACTGCAGTGAACAATGGCAAATAAAGATGAATTGTGCAAGCTGTCTGGATGGTAGCAGAGTAAATTCAATGGCCTTCTCATCTGAGATAGCAAGATGAGAAACTAAAAGTGAGATGAGATAAGATTCCAAGAGAAATCAGAGCAGAGAGCAGCAGTGAAGGTAAAAGAAGTCACACAGGTCTTGAAATCATAGAAGTTCAGAGCTGAAAGGGACCGCAGAGACTCATAAAATGACTGTCCTGACTAGGGACTCATCAGTCAGGAGGGCAAGACCCAGGACAGAGGTAACACAAGGGACATACATACACCAGCATGGAGGTGAAGTCTGGAGAGTGAGTTAAACTGGGAGGGAAGTTTGCATGGCCAGGACCCAATACTAAATGGTAGTCCTGGCTAGAGTCTTACCAATTAAGAGAGAAGAACCCAGAGTAGAGGCATCATGAGGGGGGCAAAGCTTTTTGTGTAAGTGACATCTAATGATACATAGGTAATATCTAGCAATTATACAGTTCTTTAAGGTTTACAAAGCACTTTACAAATATCTTATTTGATTTTATTTGAGGTGGTAAATAGCAAAGGTAGAACTTGCTTTCTTTTAAAAAATCAATTATTTATTTATTTATTTTTGTTTAGCTGTTTATTTATTTATATATTCATTCATTCATTCATTTACTTTTGGCGAGGCAATTGGGGTTAAGTGACTTGCCCAGGGTCATACAGTTAGTGAGCAGGACTTGTCTTCTGACTCCAAATCCAATGCTCATTCCACAATATCAAGAGACTCAAGGTCTCCCCTGTATAATGATTATAAGTTACTTTGTCTATATATAAGTTTGACCTTACCAGGCAGGTATTCAAGTATGTTATGGAAACTTTGGGAGTATAAGACGTAGTAAAATAGAAGGGACACTATAATTGGAATCAGACCTGGCTTTAAGTCCCAACTCCACCATTTTAATGGCTGTGTGACTTAGGCAAGTCACTAAGAATTGCTAGGCTTCAATTTACTCATTTGCAAAATGAAGGCATTAAACCAGGTGATGTTTAACCTCCTATCCAGGTCTCGAGGTTTATGAATTTAAGGATAGAATGGGACACATTCAGCTGCAAGTCAAAATGATTTCTCCTTATTGGATAGAATAACAGACCTGAAACCAAGAAGTCTTGGATTTCACACTCTGACTCTGATAATGACTCATTGTGTAACTCCATGGTTCTCCTCCCTAAAACTGTTTTTTTATCTCTAAAATGGGGAAGATTATGAGCATAAATCTTCATATCTATCCTACAGAGGCTAAAATGAGAAAACGAATGCAAAGTGCTTTGCAAACTTTAAATTATTATTTAAGTATTAGTTATTTGAGAAGTACGTAAAGTGTTTTGCAAACTTTAAAGTGTTACATGTGTCAGTTATTTGAGATGATATGCAATGCTTTGCAAACTTTAGAGTGCTATCTTAGTGTCAATTATTTGAGAAGTATGCAAAATACTTCACAAACTTTGAAGTGCTATAAAAAATATCAGTACTCATTACTGTTCTTAGCATGGGTAAGAGCCTGGGAGATGAGGATCCCTAGGGTCACATAAAAGACACAGCTAAGTTGCTTAGAATATACGCTTTTTGGTTCCATATGCCTACACTCCCCCTAACAATTCAGCTACAGCTTTAAAAAAGACAAATACTCAGATAGAAACAGTGTAATAAGATTTTAAATATAAGCTACCACCTTGCCTGGATTCTTCTTTCTCTTCCTTTAGCTGTGAAGCTGCACAGGTCATTTACTCAGACAGCTCGTTCCTTCACCATACAAAAGGCCACGTCTATCAAAATTGTCTTTTCCTGCCCATGATGGAAGGAGTCATGACATCATGTCATCTTTCACCTTAAACTGATGGTGATAAATGGTGGCAGGATGAACTTTACAATGCTTGGCCCCAACAACTGTCAAATGATTACACTGATGGGCCACAAAATGTTCACAGCCTGGACCAGGAAAACATCCTTGAACTCCCAGGACACTGTAGAGACACACGAAGAGTAGCAGCTGCTCTGTAGCACTTCCTGAGAGCTTATTGAATGTTAAGTGTTGCTGGAAGCACTTGGTAGGGTGGCAGGGCACACGTTGGGAGGTAGCATTGAGGGTGAGGGGAGAGGGAGGAATTAATCAAGAAGCATTTATTAAGTACCTACTTTCCTATTATGTGTCAGATACTCTGCTACAAAGTATTAAAATGAAACAATCTCTACCCACATGGAGTTTACATTTCTATCTGGCAAGACAACATATACACAACTAACTATATACAAAATAAATGAAGAGTAATTTTAGTAGGCAGACATTAGAATATGAGGAAATCAGGCAAAGCCTTATGTAAGAGATGGTGCTTGGTCTCAGTCTGGCATAGAAATGCTGAGAGACTGCTCAACTTAACTCACTGAGGATGAAGCACTTGTGTCCCTCTATTCTGTATACTTATATTGAAGTTTGTGGACTAAGAGCCTGACCTCTAATTCAGAGGATTAGACTCCTTGATCTCACAATCATTTCTTCATTAGCAACCCCCACACAGGCATTCCCAGAATGATGTTAATTATAGCTTACAAGTCCAAGGAGTTCTTCAAGAGTTGAGTAAGAGAAGTATTCAAACACACACACACAAACACATACACACACATACATATATATACATACATACATATATACATATATATACGTATGCATATGTATTTTTGTGTGTGTATCAGGTATGGGATGAGTATTTATTTCCTACTCAGAAAGAAATGCCAAACATGGAAGAATCCCATTGGGAACATTACCAGGATTAGCAAGATTTGGTCATTTTAATTTTTTTACTTAATTTTTAATTTATGGAATAAAAATAAGCATCTCCATAACATAGTAAAATAAAAATGATGATTGCTTATGAAACCATAACTCTACTATGTACAACTTGCTATTCCTTTCAAGTATACAACAAAATTACCATGCAAATTTCTTTTTTTCTACCCTCCCCCAGCCCCACCTTAGAGATGGCTACCATTAGACACAAGTAAGTACATATATGTGAAATCATTCTGTACATACTTCTATTTATCAGTTCTTTCTCTGGATACAGATAACATCTTTTTCCATATGTCCTTTATAGTCAATTTTAATGTTTCTAATACTCAAAGTAACTTAGTCTTTCAAAGTTGTTCTTAGAACAATATTGCTGTTATTGTATTAATGGCTCTTGATTCTGATCATTTTGCTCTTCATTATTTCATGCAAATCTTTCCATGGTTTTCTAAAATCACTGAACTCATCATTTCTTATAGCACAGTGATATTCCATCAAAATCACATACCACAACTTGTTTAGCCATTCCCTGCTTGAAGAGCATCCCTGCAATTTCCAGTTCTTTGCCACCACAAAGAGAGCTGCTATAAACATTTTAGAACATATAGATTCTTTTCCTTTTTCCCTCATTATCTTTAGAAATAGATCAAGTGCTGGTATTGCTTGGTCAAAGGATATAGGTGGTTTAATAATTCTTTGGGTATAATTCCTGATTACTCTCCAAAATGGTTGGATCATAATTCCACCAACAATGAATTAGTGTCCCAATTTTTCCACATCCCTCCAACATTTGTCACTTTCTTTTTCTATCATTTTAGCCAATCTGGCAGGTGTAAAATAATATTTCAAGGTTGATTTAATTTGTATTTATCTAATCAATAATGACTTAGAGCATTTTTTTCATATGAATATAAGTTGTTTTGATTTCTTCTTTGGAAAATTGCCTGTTCATATCTTTTGACCATTTATCAATTGGGGAATAACTCATATTCTTATAGATTTGACAAAGTTCTTTATATATTTTAGATATGAGACCTTTTGATCATTTTAATTATAACTATGAATATTGGAACTGGGAGGATAATATTTAAGCTTCAGCAGAATATTAAACAGTTTTGCAAAGCTGCTAATTCTACATTATGTTTTTCACTTCAGCATTGCACTCTTGGATCAGACAACCAAATGTGATCTTCTTTTTGATGTCCTCCATCTCCTATGTAGAAGCTTCCCTTGACATCTTCTATTATACTCTTAGGCTTCCCAGGACCTTCAGACCTTTTAGAACTTAGATTGTCACTGCCAATCCTGGACATATCAACCATCTAAGGCAAAAAAGAAATAAACTCAAAAGAGGCAGAGGTCTCCAAGTGCTCACATGGAAGGTAGGTGGAGACAGAGCAATCTGTTTCCCCCACCCAAGTCCCAGAATGAAGCTCAGTCCTCACAATTTGAAGCTGGAAATGAAAAAGAAAGGCAGGCATCCCATAGCTCCTTTTGAACACTTACCAGTTCAGCAGTCAGTTAGGAGACTCTTTGCCATCTTTCATTAAAAGTCCCTCATGGATGAATGATACATAACCAGAAATATCCCCATTACCCCAAGCTTCCATATGGTCACCTAGAACCAGAAATGGTAACAGGTAATGCTCCATGGTGAGAAGAAAGGACCTCCATTATGAGCTTTGAAGAAGGCTATGAGTTCGAAGAGGTAGAGGTGAGGATAGAATGTATTCCAGTCATGAAGGGTTGGCTGGAGAAAGGCACAAGGGCTGTAACAACACTAACTTTTTCTATTACTTATTTCATTCATATATACGTATATATATACACACACACACACACACACACACACACACACACACACACACACACACACACATATATATATATATACATATATATATATCATATATGTATGTATACATACATTATATGTTAGTATGTATCCATATCTTGTCCTCTGACTCCATGATGGTAGGTGTCTTGCCAGGTTCAGAAGAAGAATAAAATATCCCCCACTTGCTCAAGAAGCTTCCAACCTAGATGAGGGAGGGAAGAATAAATACTCAACTAACAATAGAGTACAGTATAATAATATAGTGTATTCTTTTGTGTCATACATACTATATGAAGCTTATGGGTGAAGGGGTGAGATAATTTTCCTTGCAAATGCTATAAGAACTCAAAGAGGAGGAAGACCCAGGACGGTGAGAGGAGTTTCTTGGAAAGACTTGAGCCAAGCTCCAATGGGTGGGTAGGATATGGCCCTGCCATGTGGTGGATTAGGGCAGGGAGAAAGTTATTGCAAATGACTGAAACATGAGTAAAGGTACAAATTGGTGACTCCTTGTGAAATGTTTATGTGGTTGTGAAGAGAGTTAGCATGTTATAGTGGAAAGAGCCCAAGATTGAAGGTCCAAAATTCCTGTGTTTGAATTCTACCTCCTGCACTTACTGGCTATATCAATCCATCAACAAATGTTTATTAAGCACTAACTGTGTTCCAGGCACAGTGCTTAACACTGGGGATACAAATACAAGTAAAAATAAAGACAGTCCCTGCCTCAAGGAGCTTACATTTTATCGGGAGAAGAGAATACATAAAAGGAGCTGAGAGTAGAGGTTTGGGGGCTGTGGTGGCAAAGCCCAGTGAGTCAAAAAGCAGAATCAGGAGAGGAATGAGACTGGCTGGCTTGGGCCCAAAATGGAAGTTTTGAGAGAAACTCACCAGTGGGAGAAAGGGACCACATGAACAGAAGCATCTTACAGTGTAAGAAGGCTGTAGGTGATAAGGGAAGTTCCTAGGCAAATTATTTAACTCATATGTAAAGTAAGGGATTGGACTTGACATGGCCTCAGTTTTCTCATCTGTAAAATAAAGGGATTGAATCTGACTTATCTAAGGTCCTTTTCTACTCTCTCTTTCCTTATGATCCTATGACAGTGCATTGATATAAGCAGAAATTACATGCTATAATAATAATGATAAATAATAATAATTCCAACAACAAATTACCTTTGCATAGCTCTTACAGGTTTACAAAGTATTTTATTCATATTATCTCATTTGATGCTCACATTCCTGTGAGGTAGGTTGTATTATTATCACCATTCTGCCAAGGCTGAGAGTAGCTAATTGTTTTTTCCAGGTTTAGACAGGAAGTTAGTGTCAGAAGGAGGATTTGAACTCGGGTCTTCTGGATTCCAAGTCCAACACTCTATTCATTGTACCACCTAGCTGCAGGAAGCAAATGGAAAATAAGATTGATAATTTAAAATCAACAAAGAACTTAAAAGTCAGGCAGATAAGTTTAACCTGTATCATAAAGCATGGGGTCATGTGATTGTAAGCAAGTTATCTTACATCCTTGGAAGGGAATATATATACCAAGTGAGTTTCCCACACAAACATACACACATAGACACACACAAATATGTATGTATATATTATGTATATATTGGTATTCAAGCTACAAATATGTATATTTTGGCATTTGAGTGATATATGTATATGCACACATACATGTAGATAGAAAATATGTACGTGTATACATATACACACATACATGTTGCTTGAAGACCTCCAATAATGGGGAACTCACTAACCTCAGAGGAAGCCCCTATATTTTCTAGCAACTCTAATTGGGAGGAAGTTTCCTTATAATAAGGAGAAATTTACCTTCCTATAATTTTTCTCTTTGTCCTAGTTCTGCCCTCCAGAATAAAGCAGAAAAAAAAACTTAATCCCTCTTTCATATGACCATTTTTCCAATATTTGAAGACAGCCATCATGCATGCAAACCCAAGTGTTTCTTTCTCCAAGCTAAATGTCCTTAGAGATTCACGGTTGGAAAAGACTTCTGTGGTCATATAGAACAAGCTGTATGTAAGCAGTAATACACTCTAAAACATCAGCTGCCGAATATGTATTCTTCACTACTATGTGCCAGGCACTTTGCTAAAGCAGGTAAAGCAGTTCTACTGTTAAGGAACTATATGAAGCGTATACCAATATATGCCCCACAAAGTAGTAACCCAATTTGCCTTTGAGAACCACTAGGAATGGGAAACCCATTACGTCCTGAAATAGTGCATTCATTGACATGTCAGACTTTTCTAACTATGGGATATTTTTGCTTATATTTTGCTCCAATATATGCTTTTCTTCATCTGCCACTTATTGCCATTAATTCCATCCTCTAGGCTCAATGAAGCATTATAATTACAGCTGCTTATATCTGTATCACTATCCCTATATTTGTATTCCCAGCACTTAGTGCAGGTCCTGGCACACAGTAAGTGCTTAATAAATGTTCTATCTCTTTGTCTGTTTAGTTAGCTACTTATCTATCCATCTATCTATCTATCTATCTATCTATCATCTTGTTATTTCTGCAATGAATTTTAGTTCCCTTCTACTTAAAGTACTATGGTACTGTAAACATATAAGGTATCCAACCTTATAGATACAGATGTCCATTTGTATCTATATCCTTTTAGTGGATTTAGAACTGAAACAAGTTTAAAAAGTCACCTATTGCCTTCATGAAGATTCAGGAAGAAGGGCCCACCTGTCATCTCTGTGGTATATGAGCCAAATCTAGCATTCTGCATCTAAGACCACACAAATTTTCCCCAAAATCAAGACATGGCAAGTCATGTTCCTTATATTTGAGAGCCAGGAAGCATTTTTCTTTTTCTTAAAAAAAAACACTTTAATGAATAAATGATATTCCCATTGGTTATTTATCTACTTTTTGAATTTGAATAGAATCCTACTGATAATTAAAGCATTTCACTTTTCGATAGAGAATTGGCACCTGCTGCATGTAGATAATAGCACAATTCAACATCTATGAAATACAGAATTTTCTACTAATTTCTGCCTTGAAATTTGTAAATTATCAGTGGAATTACTTATTAAAATTCAAAAGTTTTACAGTCATGGAGCCAATGGGAATCAGCATTTGTTCACTAAAATTTTTAACGCTAGAGGAAACTGCAGACCATAGATACTCAGTCCAGCCTGTACTGAGACACCTCTGGGGAGAAGCTTTTTCTTGGCAAAGTGACTTTCTTTTGAGGATACTTTCAGCCTAGGACCAGGACTCCTTGTAACCCCTTTGCCAAATTCATTAAAATTCTATACAAAGTAAAGAGGAGAAGAGGTGGATTTTGTTGTTGTTGTTTCTTTGTTTTATTTGTTTTTAGGTTGACCCTTCATGAGGGCCTCAACCAGGGCAGCCCTAGTACAACTCAAATAGTAGAATATGAATGAGAACAAGAGGAGCTGTCCTGGGTTCCAAATAGAGTTTGGGACCTGGGACAGCACAGGGGTTTTTAGCATCCTTTGCAAAGTGAATATCTGCTCCTTTAAGACATACCATCTTTTAGGGGCAGCTCGGTGGTACAGTAGACAGAGAATTGACCCTGGAGTCAGGGGTACCTGAGCTCAAATCCGGCCTCAGACACTTACTAGTTGTGTGGCCCTGGGCAAGATTGCCTCCCCCCGCCCCTAAAAGACATCATTTAAAAAAAGATATACCATGGAATTACAGAATTTCAGTACTGTAAAGAACCTCAAAGGGCATCTTTTCTTCTAGTCTGTGTCTGACAGAGAATTATGACTACAGCCCAGAGTATGGTACAGTGGAAGCATCTGGAGTTAGAGGGTCTCAATTCATATTCTAGCTTTTCTGTTTACTAAGAGTTGTGACCTTTGTCTTCATCTGTCAAGTGGAGATACCTTCTTTCTGGGGTTGTTGTGATTCTCAAATAATATATTTCAAGCACTTTAACATACTATATAAACTGTTGTTCTTATTGTTACTATTGTTATTACTATTATTTCCCGCAGTGCACATAATGGGTACTCAACAAATATTTACTTGAATAATTGAAACAAGATCATTCTCCTCACCTTACAGGCTATTTATTGTGTTTTTGCTGGTTATAGTTTTCAAGAAATTGTTCCTCTCCCTGCCCCAGCTACCCCTGGCCTATGCATCAGAGAGTTAAACTCATGGCCTAAAGTAGAACTCCTAAAATCCCAACCAGAGAAAGACTTGGGGAGAGGACCTTGCTGTGACTCATTCAACAAAGCTCTTAAAACCTTGTCCAAAGTGAGGGAGGGAAAAGGTTTTCTGAGGTTAGAATAAAACTCACATGGGTGCTTAGAGGTGAAGGATTTAGAGATTTTTCTTCTTCTTCTGTCACTTCTAATTATTCCTCTGGGTGGATGATTTAAAAAAAAACACCTTAAATCTCTACTGTTCTTACAGCTGGTTTTTAAAACAGATTTTTCTCACTGTTGTTTTTTGCTTATTGTGGAAGGAAGTGGCCCTGGAGGAAAAGAGACCCTGCAAAAGTTATTGTAATAGGACTCATTCATTCCCAGTATTTGTGAATGCAGTCAGGAAAAGATTGTCCTTCATGGTCAGGCATCTTGTTCAATTTTAAAACTTGCAATGAATATATTTCATCACATTTATGCCCATCACTGGGAGATTATCTTTGCTGGGAAAGAGGATGCCATCAAAGAGATGAGATCCTGGGTAGCAAAGCATGCCAATGTAGGGAATATTGAAGAATGTACAGAAATATTTTATCTGTGTTCTATAGCCAAGCCACCTTACCTCCCTTGGCATTAGTTCCTCATCTATAAAATGAGAGGGTTGAATTATTAGATGATCTCCAAGGTCCCTTCTAGCTTCTAATCTTCTGTCTTGTCCTCTCTGTCACTATGTAGCTATTTACAGGGTCCATTCCATAGGGACTGTTTTATGTAATAGTATTCTTAATGATATTTCAGCAGTTCATCCCATTTGGATAGAGCTGTTGTTGTACCTAATTCTACTCTATTGTGAATAAGGAGATTGCATTTCTAAATTTCCAAGACATGATTCTAAAGCATCCGGGTAGACTTTCCCTTCCTTTCTTCTTTCCTTCCTTCTTCTCCTCTTCCCTCCATTATTCCCTCCCTCCTTAAATTTCTCCCTTCCTCCATTCCTTCCTCCCTTTCTTCCTCCCTACTTCTATTCTTCTGGATTAAAAATCTAGTTCTGGAGAAAAACATTTCATACCCATCTCCCACCTTCCTTTTCTCAATTCCTTTCTCCCCTTTTTCATTCTTTTTTCTTCCCTCCCTCCTTTCTTTCCTCTTTTCCTCCCTCTCTTTCTCACTCCCTTCTTTCCTCCCCACTTCTCTTCTTTCCCTCTCTATTCAGTGAAAAGCTATCATTTTCTTTGCATGTAATTTCCATCTGGCCTATGTGTTAAAGGGGTCATGCTAGAAGATTAATAGCCTAGTAAGATCAAGGCAGTTCAACATGATGCCCCCATCCATTTGGAGACTAGCTCTCTAGCTGCAATTCCAGCCAACCCAACAAGTGAATGAGAAGAGATTCAAACTGTAGGCTCACCATACAGCTGTTGGACAGAAGTTTTGTACATTCTATCACTGAGAGGAGTAGTCCCCAAGCAAGAAGTGTCTAATAGCAGATTATTGTCTATCAATAGGTAGATCAAGGCTGTGCTAAGGCTCTGTCCTCTAGTTCCTGAATGGAATGGATGCTTTCTTCCCCTTTCTAGGGCTAGCGCTATTTAGACTTTGTGTTTTCAAACACAAACTAGAGGTTTTCTGCTATAAATGTGCCTCTTCTCAGTGCCCACCCCCTTACCCAGGTCCTCACTCCCTTCACATTCCAGTGAGGTAAAAAGAAGAATTTTAATATGAATTAAAATTGGGCCCTACAGTCTTGGAAACATTCTATTGTCTAAGGCCTCATGGTCATCACTATAATATCATAATCGGTCATTGAACAAGCATTTATGGAGAATGTCTTATGTGACAAGCTCATTTCTGGGTGCTATCAGAAACACAAGAGAAGTATACAGATTGGCAAGAATGTTTAAAAATTTCACCAGTATTTAAAATTTTTACAAAACCCTTGTATATCTTTGTTCTCCCCTTCTCATCTTCACCTCCCAAATTCCTTCAGGTCCCAACTAAAATCCCACCTTCTATAGGAAGTCTTTCCCAATTTCCCTTAATTTGAGTCCCTTTCTTGAATAGTTTCAATTTATCCTGTATATAGCTTGTCTGTCCACAGTTATTTTCATGTCACTTTCCCCATTTTTACTGTGAGTGCCTGGCACAAAGTAGGCACTTAATAAATGCTTAGTGACTGACTTTGGTCTCATTTGATCCTTATATCTTCACAGCACCTACAAGATGTA